CAGCCGACTTGCTTTCAAAACGGCTTCTCTCATTGCCTCAAAGTGTGGCGCAATGACAGTCTCACACGGGCACATCTCTTTGTAGAAGAAGAAGCAATGATCCATGTATAACTGGAGCGTTGTCACGGCTCTTGCGCCGGTGGGGCAACGGGCAACTTAAGATCCTCGGCTTCACAGTTTGTAAGTTGGATCTTTGATAATTACCTTGATAACAACATTATTTGTAGGTGTTGTACCGTACTAGATGCGAGCTCTTTGATTACAAACAGAGAAGAAAAAGCACCGCGTGTGTTTCATTAAACTCAAAATAGGATGGTCAACCAAGACAGAGCAAGGCTTTGGAAATGCTGACTGTGCACCTGTCGCTTAATCTATTTGAGGCGTGATTAAAGTTTAATTCGTACCCATCTGTAATGCCCGCCGCTCTATGTGTATGTGTCTATGCGTGCGTGTGTCTGTATGCATGTGTTGGACTGCAGTGGGCCGATGAGTAGCTTCGGGCTGAGCCCCAGCCTTCCCTCTCCTCGCCAAGCAGGCCTCACTACTTTTCATGCCTGAGGGACGCCGTGAGCCGCAAACAACTGAATTTTTCATCAAGGTTACTTCCTGGAGAGACGTGGGGTGCAGTTGCAGCGTTCTCCCTCTGCACATTTGTGGCTCAGTCCTAACTTACCTCGTTCTGACCTGCACACCTCTCCGGGAGGAGTTGTTTGACCCTGGCCGGAAAAGGAGAACGTGTACTGTGCAGTCAGCAATCTGATCTTATTATTGAATGTACTGGCGCTGGTTACCACGGCTATATTTATGTATTTTTTGTAATCTTTAGTTCTTCAACATTGATTCATATTTGCAATCTATGGCTACAGATTCATTGTTATTAAATATTTTCTAACCATATTCTGTACAATCATCAGAGGTGTGTAGTAACACGCTATATTTACTCTGTTGCGTTTACTTCAGTTAAATTGTCATTTTGGGGAGTAATTTTAATGTAACATTCATTTTACTTTTCCTTGGGTCCATCCATCCATTTTCCGATCCGCTTTATCCTCACAAGGGCCGCGGCCGTGCTGGAGCCTATCTCATCTGTCTTCGGGCAGTAGGCGGAGGGCACCCTGAACCGGTTGCCAGCCAATCGCAGGGCACACAGACAAAAAACATCCACACTCATACTCACACCTAGGGACAATTTAAAATGTTCAATCAGCCTGCCATGCATGTTTTTAGAATGTGGGAAGAAACCAGAGTACCCGGAGAAAACCCACGCCTTGGCTTTCCTTGGGTATTTATGTAAAAAAAAAAAAAAAAAAAAAAGAGCTACTTTTCCTATGTTACTTTGAGCAAACATTCTGCTCGCGACTTTTCGGGTACTCTACCCACTTCTGACAAACATGCAGTAGCTGTCGTGCACATATTGGCGTTGTACCAAAATCTCCTTTCTTTCTCAGTTCTCTGCACTGAGTTGTTGAACGCATTTAAATGGAAGTACCATGAAATAAAATTTGGACTTCCCAACATTTTTCATTTTCATCTTTTAATCTGAAGCGATAACGTCTTTAGTATCCAACAAAAACAAAGGGACCGACATTGCCATTGTATATTTGTGATTGGCTATACTGTATGTGTCTCAGATGGGCTGCTTTCAACAAGACAAATGTAAAGTGTACTGTAATTCTTGATCATTGAGGTATTTTCACAAAAGCATGTCACAGAGATGTTATTCAGACTCTGGGTGTGGTTGTCAAGGCAACCATGGCTCACCGATTGTTGTGGTCTTTTAACAATGAATGGTGGAGCAGTCAATACATCTGTCATTGCTTTGCCACTTCTAGCCTTGTCTTTGCTTAACTAATGTATAGTATTACGACTTGTATATATTTGTACTTACAAAAACAAAAGTGTCATAATTACGTCTGATAATAGTAGGTGGAGCCCTGGATGATAAAATAGCAACAATGGTTGTTCCTTAGATCTCCTTTAAAAATAAATTTTGCACATAATCGAAAGTGCCTCATGGGTTATTAATTAACAAAAAAAAAAAATCAATAAATTCAACTAGTTCACTTCATCTTTTGGGAATAGCGGCATGGGAATAGCAGCACTCCCAGCAAGACTATTTTCCGTCTTTGGAAAGCAACATTGCATCTCCAGCAGAAAAACATCTGCTGGCTACCCGAATATTTTTACATCAACATTCATTTGCAATTCTAATAAAACCTTATTTCTTCTTCTTCTTTTTTTGTGTGTGTTGTTTTTGGGATTATTTATGCTGCGACAACACGCTTGCTTTTAATGGAGGCAAAATATTCAGTGTCAGAATGTATTCCTTTTTCATTAAGGGCTGAAGTGGTGCTTCAGTGAATACGGCAATCAGAGGCCCAAGCATGGTTGTTGTTTTTCCTGTGCAAAGTTGATTTTAAACCAAAAGGCCTCCATGCAACGAGATCATTCCTGCATGTTGGATTTCTGTGCAGCACATTTGGTGAGTGCAGTTGAAGCAGCATTTTCCGTGTACGACTAAGATAAGCCTCCATCACTTTATGAGCCTATTAAATAGGCAATGGAATAAAGCCCAATGGCTTCTGGACCGCAGACGTCCATTTGAGGGCTGCGCGTGGCAGTCTTGCAGCTCCCGAGTGTCAGACATTATCACCCCCACTACCCTCAACCTCACCCTGCCCCTTGTGACAATTACTGGCCTACCTCCCTATTCAGCACGTAATGAGAAAACGGACTGATCGATTTCTGTCCGGTCAGTAAAAGAACTATAGCTGGGATTTGGATACAGCACAGACACGACTGAAGAGAGCCACAGTGCCGCAGGATGACGTGATTTAGAACGATAAAATGACTTGACTCAGGGATGATTAAGGAATTACAGCGCCTGCTAATTAGAATTTGGATGTGTGCTAACTAGTAATGGCATTGATTATTTTATTTGGTTGTCGAAAAAGGAGGTAGAAATGGCCAGATTGCTGATTTTGGATTGCAAACCAGTGGAATGCAAATCTCCATATTTATATTTATTTCTTGGGGGGGGGGGGTCCATTTCCATGTATATTTCAATATATTCAATGTTTACAGTCATGGAACTCACAAAAAAAAAAGGTTGCATGTGCAGATGCCCAAATTCCATGAAAGTCAACTATGGTGCAGTGATGATGTGCAATTAAAATAAAGATTACAAAAAGTTGCAAAAATTAAATGCTATGCAGCATTTACTTTAGTTCACCTGGGCTAACCCATACTATCCATTGGTGTAGAGCAGGGGTGTCAAACTCATTTTTGTCGTGGGCCACATTGCAGTTATGGTTTCCCTTGGAGGGCCGTTATGACTGTGAATTTTGTGAAACCATATAAATGTTTAACCATCTCCACATATTACATACACAGCAAGCAACTAGTTTTGACATCAGAAGTCAAGAATAATGGATTGTTCAAACACTGAAATTGTTACATTATATATGATAAATTTTGGTTCAGACTTAAGCAGGCGTCATGGAAGTTGACATGCTTGAATTGCTTTTGCGGGCCACATAAAATGATGTGGCGGGCCAGTTCTGGCCCCCGGGCCTTGACTTTGACACCTGTGGTTGCGAGGGTAACCGCCACATTATTCACATTACAGTGCCAACTACTGGCCTGGCATGCCTATTACAATGTTTTCAGATTTTAACTGTTTGAATGCTATTTATGGCAAATCCCATCAGGTGGAATTCGAACGAAGAGCAGTTGATGTCAAATGCTGTTCACTTTTTTTTTTTTTTTTTTTTTTTTTTTTTTGTTTTATGGGGAATTTGTGGAGAAAAGTCTTGGCCAACTCTGGTTGTGATAGTTAAAATGGAAAAGTAGCTGGATTTAAAATTAAACTGGAAGTGTGTGTGTGTGTGTGTGTGTGTGTGTGTGTGTGTGTGTGTGTGTGTGTGTGTGTGTGTGTGTGTGTGTTGTGTGTGTGTGTGTAATCTTATTGAAACATCCAATAATCTCGCTTTTGCTGACATTCTTCTGACGGGTGGAGAAACGCAAAGTTTTGTCTGGATTTTCTCGATGTGTGTACTCCCTTTCAACTGCTCAACGCAAAACACGCATGCATACTCCGTATTAAATTCAGGCATCTATTTTTGTGCGTCCCCCTGGGAGCCTAAATGAGCCTCAAAACAACCCACCGCAATTAAACCTCGACAGAAGTGGCCCAAAGTGTCTGATGTGGATGTTTAAATCAGACGGGAGCACATTCATCATTGTTACCTTTGTGTGTAGCAACAGCTCCCTCAACCTGCTCCGTTGACTCCATTTTGATTTATTCTTCCTTTTGACTGATTACACGGATGTAAATATTCAAGGGGGGGTTAAAATATGGTGTGGCTGACAGAGTGTCTTTTTTTCCAAAGCACCTCCATGCTGTCCTGTTGGGTCAGCGCCACTCAGCGTTATTTATTAGGCTCCATATTCACTCTCTATCCATCACAGCACGGTCACATCTCTTTATGTTTATTACAGTGTTCCACCTTCCCGTGGATGGATGATTGACGTCTCAGGAGAGCTTCGAGGTGGGACTTGCGCGCGCTGTCTTCTCCAATGGAGGCTCGACGGGGGCGGGGGCTCCTCATTTCGAGTCACTTAACACACGTAAGAGTAATAACACCCGAGTCCAAAAATCCTTCACATGGAAGGGCTGCCAAGTGGGTCTGCGGTGCGCTTTTTTTTTTTTTTTTTTTTTTTTTTGCTTGTTTGTTCTGGGGATGCGCATTTAAGGAGGCGCAACACTTTTGATCCCATTAGAATCCTCCAACGTGCATGTTCACCTCCCTCTCTCTCCGTGTAGCGGCGCAGGAGTGGCCAAAGCCAAAAGCAGCGATTCAGATCAGATTTCAAATCGAGAAAAAGAGAAAGAGAGGGGGGGAGAGAACGAGAGAGAGAGAGAGAGAGAGAGAGAGAGAGAGAGAGAGAGAGAGAGAGAGCGAGAGCGTGCGCGTGAGAGAGAGAGCACATCTCCCTCCTCAGCCGTCGTTCTCCCTTCCTATTCCTCCTCCTCATCGCCCCTATCTCCCCCCTTACCAAAAAGAAAACAAAAAAAAAAGAGAAACGAGATTGAAAAGTTGGAGGCGAGGCAGCAAGGACCGTGGCCGAGGATGGACGAGCAGCCTCGCTTGATGCACTCTCACGGGGTAGGCATGGCCGGACACCCCGGCCTGGCGCAGCATTTGCCGGATGGCACCGCGGGGACGGACGGCGAGGGGAGGAAACAGGACATCGGAGACATTTTACAGCAAATCATGACCATCACCGACCAGAGCCTGGACGAAGCGCAGGCAAGGTGAGACTGCACACACAAACACGTGTGTGTGTGTCAAAATCATAATATTTACAGTAACGGCGATAAAACGTCACGATCGCAAACTAGTCAGGATGGATGCAAACATTGTGCTTGGAATTAAAGAACACACGTGACTAAAGATACATGAGCGGTAGCAGAAATTCAAAAAAAAAAAAAGGTATTTGAATCAAAGTGTGTGTCTGTCCAAGAGATTTCACCGCCTCAGTTTGACTTTTTACAAAGAGGCTTATACGCTGTAATCCTACAACAACATGTTGAATATTGTCCACTAATAGTACCACCAGTCATATGAAAGCAATTATAGTTGCAAGTTGCAACTGATGCGTTGTTTTGCAGTGTATATTTACTGTATGGTTTTAAAATCTACATTTGACGTTTTCATTGTTTTCATGATAGCTGGACTTGTTGGAGAGCCTCCTGCATTTACTCATATTGAGCAGGATGCACGAGAGCTCTTGTTGTGTTGTATTCGTTATATGGTGAAAAAAAAATAGTATGGATGAAATATTAAATATGAAAATTTCCATTTGCATAAAATGTCACTGTTGTTGCGGATTTACTGAATAAGGACATTAGTAATTTTTCTTTTTTTTTTTTTTTGTTCAAAATGACTACCCAGGAAATGATAGCTGGACTTGTTGGAGAGCCTCCTGCATTTACTCATATTGAGCAGGATGCACGAGAGCTCTTGTTGTGTTGTATTCGTTATATGGTGGAAAAAAAATAGTCTGGATGAAATATTAAATATGACAATTTCCATTTGCACAAAATGTCACTGTTGCTGATTTACTGAATAAGGACAACATTAGTAATTTTTTCTTTTTTGTTTTTTTTTTGTTCAAAATGACTACCCAGGAAGTCTCCTGCATGCTGATATTTCACCAAATATGTACACAAAAGCCTTTTGTGCAACTGATTGTGGTTGTTGTTGTTGCGATGTGTGTGTGTGTGTGTGTGTGTGTGTGTGTGTGTGTGTGTGTGTGTGTGTGTGTGTGTGTGTATATATATATATATATATATATATAGTAGTGTTCAAAATAAATTCCATGTAAGTTGACTGGACTACGTTATTAAATAGTTGCATTTGTGCTCCGACGTGTTGAAAAAAATGGCTATTACTCAAGAAAGTGTTCTCGTTTTAGGAAACATGCGTTGAACTGTCACAGAATGAAACCTGCTCTCTTCAACGTCTTGTGTGAAATTAAGGAGAAAACAGGTAAGTTTTAGTTTTAGTTTTTTTTTTCCCCCCCTCCAGTGGGTGTATTATCGCTCTGGTAATCCGTCGCCACTATTTTGCTGTTTTTCTATTCCCCGTTTCCCCGCTGCAAAGTATACGGCATCGTCGCCAAGCACATCGAGGCGTAAAAAAAAAGCATGGTTGTGTTTCTACATCCCCTGACAAATGTCACACAGCGTGCATGTGAGCGGACGCGGCACACACAATGCACAGGAGTGTTTTCATGGCGGCTCTTTCTGGGCTGGGCTTTCTCACCCTCTGTCAGCTCCCCTCGGCCCGAGTTTGATGGTGTTTGCTAAGTGAGCTGTTTTACATGCAGAGGCTAGTCGTCGGCAGGGAGTTGGGGTGGCTGGAGGGGGCATTTTCTGTTTATGTTTGCAACAAGGGTCAAAGTCATGAAAAGGAATGTGTGAATTATTACTCACTTAGCAGCAAATTAAAGCGCAGCGACTCACATGATGAAAGCCCGTGATTAATCTCGGGAGGGATGTGGCCGAGCGCGGCTCGTTTTGAGAAATGGCTTTCCGAGGCTGGAAAATAAAACAAAGTCTGCAGTTTGACCTCGTCTTTGAGCTGGCGCTGCCAAGCTGTCAAAGGTTTTTAAGAGCGCCTCGTCTGGCTCGCGCGGTCGATGTTGTTGCGTTCGCGGCCCATGCAGACAGCTGAAAATAAACACTTAATTCAAAATGGACGTTTTATTCCTATGAGTCATACTTTTGGCAGCAGGGGGAGAGGCAACCAAAAAGACACCAGGGGAATTTTTTTTTTTTTGCAGATTTATAAAGGTTAAAGAGTACTCTCTGCGAGGAGGAATCCATAGTAGGTTGGGGCCCTCTTTCTAAATTGCAAGGCTCGGAAAAGTGAGACAGTCATGCCTCGCTCTTTGTAAACTGTCTGGCGTCTCACCGGGTTCAGCTAGAGTTCGCTTTCCAAAAAGAAGAACAAAGTGACTTGGACCTTTTCCTGGCTTCTACCCGTGCCTCCCCTTCCTTTGCCTCTGCTTCCTTTCCCTTCCCTTCCCACCATTCTTGGCAAGCGACGCTCCAGACAATAGAGAGGTTCCCCCTATTTCTGCGAAACGAAGCACCGAGTTTGGAAATGAACTCAAGTGACTTGAAAAGTTGGAGAATCATTTTGAGGAGGGAAGCTCCTTAATACCAGCCACCTCGCCGTGACCCTCGTCTTTGTCTTCGCCCCTAAAGTGAAAATCCTTTCACCGCATGACAGAGAAAATGACTCAAACCTTCAGCATGGCATTTACAGGCAAATGTGCTGAGTGCAGTGTATGCGAGCAGCCTGTAATTTGTCAGCTCTTTTTTTTTATTTCTTTCTACATGTCCTTTTTATAAAAGACTCCACTTCGCCTTCGATTTTCAAATGGTCGTCAGGAATATTTCTTCCGCCGATCATTTGTTGCGCACGGCGGCGGCACGCTTCCAAAGGTGTGCGGGCCCGCGTGCGCTTTCTTCTTTAGCGCGGCTGGAGCGTTGACAGCAGCAATATGAGACATTGCAGCGGCGACGTGTCCACTGGCGAGCAGCTGACAAACAAGGCGGGCACGCATGCCTATGGCGGGATAAAGCCGCCCCTAACTCCTGACCCCTCCCTTCCCCGTCCGCCGTGCTTTCGTGCCAGGGTCGGGCCCGTGTCAGGGTAGGAGTATTTAGCAAGCTGCGACAAGCTCAGCTGTGCGAAGCTTGTGTCACTTCTTGAAGGCTCGGATTTCTTCAACACGCCAACCATTTTTTTTTCCTTCTTCAAAAGATCATTGTGTTAACAGTTGCTGAGAGCAATGAGGAGCTTTTTTATTTTTCCTTAGTCTAGCTTCCTGTGAAGCGGCTTGTTTGTGTGGAACCATTAGAGCAGGGGAAGGTGGCATGTACAGGTTAAAGGAAGAGAAGCCAGACAACAAGTTTGTGTTTGTGGGTGTCAGATTTCAGGCCTTCTCTCTCTCTCTCTCTCTAAAAAACCCCCCCTCTCTCTCTCTCTCTCTCTCTCTCTCTCTCTCTCTCTCTCTCTCTCTCTCTCTCTCTGTCACTCTCTCCCTCTCTCACTGTCTCTGTTGTTCTACCTCACGTTACCCCCATGCAGGCCGGTGCAGGTCAGAAGGGGAGCTCCTGCGCGACTAATGTGATCAGGCGGATAATGCATTACGCTACTTGAACTTATCAAAGCCGGAGACCTGCTGAATCAGTCCATCCCGCTAACTGCGCCCTCACCGCTAATTAGACACATCCGCACCTTTGAGTCGGTATGGTCACTTTCACGCTTAATGCCGCACGAAGCACTTTTACATTTTGGGGGAATGTGCTGAGTTATTAACAATTCATCTCCGATGAGCTGCAGCGAAATTTCTCTGGCGATTATCGCGGCTTGTTTTGTGAGCGAGATGCAATAACAAGAAACTAGCTGATCCCTGCCTGTGGTTGTTTTTAGCCTGGCGAGAGGCCGCATCCACACATAGCCAAGTGCTTTGAACAACATTGTTTTCTCAACGGAATGTTTGTTTTTTAAAAATTTTAGTCAGTATTAGGATTTCCCACTTTGAGTTATTCTATGGGCCCTCTTTGAATCATTATTAGTATTCCTCTGCCTTTCGGGAGACATCAATGTGTCAGAAAATTCACAGGGCCAAATTCACTCAACCAGGGGTGTCCAAACTTACTCGTTTGAGGGCCGCACACATGAAAGTGCCAGTCTTAAATTCTTAAACTTTTTGAAACATGCTAAAGTCATTCAAGAAATCAATTATATATTGTCTGTATTGTCTAATTAATTTCACCAGCTTTCTGTTAAAGGTGTTAAGGCAAATAGTTGAATCTAATTAATTTTATCAGCTTTCTCTTAAAGGTGTTAAGGCAAATAGTTGAGAGGTTTTGGGGTGGCCAGCAGCCGTCTATCTCACAGAGTAGATCCAGCTCTGCACTAAACAGCAGCCGAATCCCATCTCCATATTCAGAACGTAAAGAAGAACAAACAGGAGTGAAGTGACCATTTTTCAAACCGTGACTTATGAATGTGATGTCTTCATAAATCAGCCAGTGAGCAGAAAGTGGACGAAACAATTTTTGCCTCAAAAATAGAATTATCTTTATTCACTACAGTGTTTTGAAGATTCATTATTCTTTTAATCATAAATGGTTCATTTGTATCTCTGAATATAGAGAAAAGTTCGACAGTATATCAACAAATTTATGAGTGGTAAATGGCACCTATTTTTCTGACTATCTCCCTTCTCACTCTGCCTACATTCATCTTTTTTTAACTAATCTTGTGGCCCATGTCAAATGTCATTCTTGGTTGTTGTTGGTTTTTTTTTTGTCATGTTGCGGGCCGCTGAAAAATAGATGGCGGGCCGCAAATGGCCCCCGGGCTGTAGTTTGGATGTGCACTAAACGATTGTGTGGCTTTTGTGTGGTGCTAACCAATAAAAATGGAGCAACCAGAGAGCGTCCAATCCACAAAGGACACGCAGATTGGTGATATGCGTCACTCACTGTGATACCAAGCAGAAAATGCGTCTCGGTGCGGCGGTGGTATTTGTGGGTATTTAAATTTTCTTTTGGCGGAAAAATTGCCCACCTCTATACAAATGAGATCGATTGATCAAGAACGTTTAATTCACTCACACCAGTGCTCATAGCCACACGCAGTTTGAGTGACGCCAAAAAAGCACAAAGAAAAAGCTGGTGTAAAATTGGCGTTACTCAGTTGAAGTCTTATTTAGCAAAGAGCCACATTGCCAGAGCATTGTGAGGGAAAACTCCGACATATACAAGGCATGTCATCCAAAATTATAAAACAACCACGTCGGCACGCCCCACACCCTATCACACTAATAATTAAATGCCGAAAGACGTTAGGCCGGTCAGATGAAAATCCCGTTCGCACCTCCTCAGTCAGGACCCCAAACTCACATTTTGATAATTTCATCTATCGATGATAATAATAATAATATAATCATAATAATCCTCATCATCGGCTAATGCACTTTATTTGAAAGCCCCTTTCTTGGAAGGACACCATAAAATGTTACATTACATTGAATAAAGGAGCAACAACAATTGGAATGAGAGAAATATATTAAAATTTAAAAAAAATGAAGGATACAGATCAAAATGACAGGGTGAATAGATGGTTTTAAATCGGCGCATTTAGTTTTGTGATATGAATTGAGTGAAAGAGTCTCTCCCTAGATGCCATCGTTTTGCCACGTCGTTCTTGGTGCAAAGCCTGCATTGATACAGCAGGGGGGAGGGGGGCAGGGGGGGAACAGGTGCCAACTGCACTCAGCTGTCAAACTTTGTCGCTTTTTTAGGTCTCGAACACGACCCCCCCCCAAAAATTTACCACAGGAACTTTCGACCAGTTGTTTTACCAATTCACACAAAAGTGGGCGTACATCCCAAAAAGTTTCAGAACCCCTGTCTGAAATACTCAGTTGAAGTCTTATTTAGCAAAGAGCCACATTGCCAGAGCATTGTGAGGGAAAACTCCGACATATACAAGGCATGTCATCCAAAATTACAAAACAACCACATCGGCACACCCCACACCCTATCACACTAATAATTAAATGCCGAAAGACGTTAGGTTGTCCCGGGCCGGTCGGATGAAAATCCCGTTCGCGCCTCCTCAGTGAGGACCCCAAACTCACATTTTGATAATTTCATCTTTCGATCATAATAATAATAATCATCCTCATCATCGGCTAATGCATTTTATTTGAAAGCCCCTTTCTTGGAAGGACACCGTAAAATATTACATTCCATTGAATAAAGGAGCAACAACAAATGGAATGAGAGAAATATATTAAAATTAAAAAAAAATGAAGGATACAGGTCAAAATGACAGGGTGAATAGATGGTTTTAAATCGGCGCATTTAGTTTTGTGATATGAATTGAGTGAAAGAGTCTCTCCCTAGATGCCATCGTTTTGCCACGTCGTTCTTGGTGCAAAGCCTGCATTGATACAGCAG